TGGAGTTAAGATAAATGTATAATTAGTACACCAACTAATTGTATGAGAATCACTGCTTCTAAGGAACTGAAGGATGATTTTCAAAGCTTTAAAACTTTATATAGCTTAAGTATTTGCGAATGTTTGTACTATTCATGTCCTTTGCAAAGGTTTCCTTTGTAGATAGCACAAAAGTAAACCTGTCTAGCCAAATTCCAAATGAGTGGAATTAGATTTACTGCAACCTCTTTAAAGTTTATAAAGTATTAAATATTTTTAAAGTCAGCCTCTATTATTCAAAGAAAAGAACTACGAAGTCAATTAATTTCAAAGAAATATTTCTTAAGTGCTGACTGCATGCAAAGCAATGAAGGAGGTATATGAATGTAAGTCATTTAAACTAAGAAATTCAACTGAGAGACAATAGGTGGATCACATATCAATCAATGAAGCAACAGGCACGTATTAAACGCCAGGTATTATGCTATCTAAACTGGTGGGATGCCAGTGCAAAGAACAGAACAATCGCTACTCTCAAGGTGCTTACATACTAATGAAGGAAGCAGCAAGAGCATATATCTTAAGCATAAATATATAGTGAATAAATAGAAACAAACACAATGTAGCTACACACCAGGCCATTTTGGAGGGAGGACACTAATCAACTGGTTGAATCAAGAAAAACTTCATCTAGAGATGGTAACCAAACTGCATCTTAAAAGACAAAGGGCCTCTGTGAGGCAGAAGTAAGGAGGGAGTAAATCCCAGATGCAGGAGACAGGAGATGGAGTGTGGCGGGTGGGTGGTTGGGTGTGTATATGTGTGTGTGTGTGTGTCCGTGTGTTTATGTATAACAGAAAGAGAAGGTCAATCTGGCTGCCTCACAGAGTACAGGAGGGGGGATAATTTTCAATGAAGCTGGAAAAGCAGCTTGGAGCCTGTTTGTGAAGGGCTTTACACTAAAAAGAGGAGTTTGTATTATATCTTAGAGGCAATGGGAAATCACTGGAGCTGACTGAGTAGAGGAGACACATGGTCAGATCTGCATTTAAGGAAAATTACTTTTGCAACAACTGTGTGTAGGCTGGACTGGAGAAGTGAGAATTGAGTCAGGGAGACTAATTAGGAGGCTGTTGCAATAATCTAGGTGAGAGGTGAAAAGGGCTTGAACTAAGGTTCTGTGAGTAGCAAGAGGAGGCTGGATGAGAGACACTTTACGGTGCACAAAATGACAAGATTTGGCAGTTTGTTAAACATGTAGGGGAACCGAATGAGGAGACCAACATAATGCTAAAATTATGAACCTGGGATACTGCTAGAATGGTGGGTACCTTTGACAGAAATAGGGAAGTATGAACAAATGGACAGTTTGGGGATGAATATAATGAGTTCAGTTTTGGATATGTTGAATTTGAAATATCCAACAGGCAACTCAAGAGAAACTGGGGTTGGATATAGAGATATGAGAGTGATCTACATGGAGAAGATGGTGAAAGCCAAAGGAGCTCATGGGGTTACTGACAGAGTGTAGAGAGAGGAGAGCCTTAATACAGAACCTTGTGTGAAACATTCACAGTTAGGGGTTCAAGAGTTATCTGCCAGTGTTGGAAAGAGTGTATACAAATCTAGCATAGATGCTGGAGGCAAGCGATTGATTGAGGGCCTCAGGCTGGCAATCCACTTTGGTCCCTGGCCTTTACTTAGCCTTTGAGGTTTGTTCAGGCTCAGTTCTAAGGAAGCCTCGCTTCTCAATAGCACCTGTAGGCTTCCTAGTCTTACATTCATGGGCTCATCTTTCTGAGGAAAATTGCTAATTCCATTAATATTTGTGGCTATAGCTTGAAAATCAAAGGGGTTCCCATAAAAGAGAAAATAAAAGAGGTACTCAATGAATAATAAAAGTCAAGCATAGGGCAGTTAATTTATTCTCACAGAGAAAGCAATATTAAGTCTAAGGGAATTGTAGCATGTATCAACAGAATGATTTAAACAGGATTCAGTATATTATTACTACCAGTGGACTCTGCTGGGAGTCGATATTCAAATCTCTTTGGGCCATAATACAGTATTTTGCAAGGCTGCTAATGAGCCATGTTACACTTCATGCCTGTTGGCATTGGCTGACCATACAGCCAAGCTGGAACTTTACCATGGCCAGTCCAATGCCCACTCTTCCCGTGGCATTAGTGCACAACTACTGATATCTAGATATTTTCATCCCATCTCTTCTCCTACTATCCTACTCCTCCGAAGTACTGCAGAAGACATCAGTTGCCATTTCTCTAGACTCACAAGATGATGCTAAAGGAAGGAAATACATGAGAGGCAAAAGCAACCAGGGTCCCCACTCAGGGCCAGCTAGTTAAATGCATGCTTTTTAGCTCAGAAGCCATATAGAAAACTCTCAGCAAATAAGTCTTTTGTGGCTTGAAGCTGGTCCCCCAGACATTCCACATGATCCACCAGCAGGTAGAAAATAGAGAATAATCACACATATTTGGAGGAGGAGGGAATGGTAAGGGGGAAGGAGGGGCAGAGAAGATTGCATAACTAGTCTCCAAGAAAATAATTAATTTTCCATTCTCATAAAAACCGCACCTACCTCACAGGGTTGTTGTGATGATCAAATGAGATAGCACCCATAAAGTGTTAAAAATAAAAATGACAGTAACAGTTATTCCAATAAAATGATATTTAACTTTACCTGAACACACATGAGTTTCTATAAAATATACTAATTTTATGGGTTTTGACTAAAGGCCTTAACCTGGCTAATGTCCATAGGAGAAAAGATCAATTACCAAATTTATGAATTCTCCCCAATTAGACTCAAGTTTCTTGAGAGTAAGATTGTCTTTCACTTCTTTGTATATCTTATAACCTATGTTCAAAATATGTGTTGAATAACTATTGTCTTTATCTCCATTTCCACTCCTATTTATTTACCATATTACCTTTTTTTTTTTTAAAGCAAAGTCTTAGAGTCATAAAGCTCAAGGTATTTATAGAAAAATACACAGGATCTGGTTAACGTCAATAGCCCCATGGTCTGGTCCTGTCAGCCTTGAAGAGGCAGCTCACTGAGTTTCAGGTTCCTGCCCTCTGAGGTTTGCTAGGAGCTTCACTGACCTCAAGTGTGCACAGTTGCACACAGGTATTTTACTGAAAAGCTGACGCATTTCCCTTTGTTTCTCACCCCCTTAGAGTCTCTCTGATTCAAGGAGTAATGATAATAGCTAATATTTATACAGCACTTTACAAAGTACTTTACCCATGATAACTCATTTGATCCTCACAAGAACACTGTGAGGTAGGTACCATTATCATCCCCATTTTATACACGAGGAAATTGAGGCTGAGAGAGGTTAAGAAGTTGTCCAGGGTCACACAGATAGTAAGTGTGAGAGGGAGGATTTCAATCTCAGGCCTTCCTGATTCCAAGTCAATCACTCTGTCCGCTCCTACACCACCTTGCTTCTTCTGGGCATAAGGGCAACACCAACTAGTTAGTCCACATCATTTATGGTAGTGACTGGTCAGCCTCCAGAAGCCTCGTTTATAAGTGGAGGGTTCCTATGCTAAATCCACATTAGTTCTGTGTCCAGCATGTGCAATGATCCCATGACCAAGGAAGAGAGATGAGTTTTTTTCTCATTGTTACTCTGGGCAGCAGTACATAAACCAACACATTTAGCCACAGCTATCTAACAGAATATGAGTGCTAAACTAGGTGTTGTTTACTTCAGCGTAGGTGTCATCCTTCATGCCTCATTCTTTGTCACCCTCCCTCCACCCCCTATCCAGTCAGTGTCATGTGCTGTCATCTCCAGGGTACCACTCCTTCTTCCTCTGGACAATGGAACTATTCTGGTACAATCCCTCATCTCCTAATGCCTGGACTATTGAAATGGCCTGTTGGACTCCTCAACTCAAGTCTCCCCATTCCAACACAGCCACTACTCAGAGATCAAACTGTTCTCCTAAAGCATAGGTCTGACCATATCACCCTCTATTCAATAAACTCCAGTGGCTTCCTTTTTCTTCCAGAATCAAATATAAAATCCTGTTTGGCTTTCAAAGGCCTAGATAACCCAAACTCTTTTTTTTTAAATTTTTAATGCTTCTCCCTGAGACCACTCCCAATTTATCCTGTCTATATCTTGTTTGTACATGGGTGCTCTCTATTAGACTGTGAACTCCTTAAGGACAGGGGTAGTTTTTTGCCTTTTTTTGTTTCCCCAGCACACAGCTGGCAAGTAGTAGAAGTGGTAGTAAAAATAGTAGTAGTAGTAGCAATAGTAGCAATAGTAATAGTAGTAGTAGTAGCAACAGCAGCAGCAGTAATAACAATACATTATTAATAGTTATAGTAATACATATTAATAGCAATAAATAATGCATTAATGGCTAAGTGATAAATGCAAGTAAGAAATAATACATTATTAATCACTATAGTAATGAATTATAAGAGTAAGAAATAATAATGCATTATTAATAAATAGTTATGTTCTTGTTCTATGTCTGACTCTTCCTGACCCCATTTGGGCTTTTCTTGGCAAAAACAGTGGATTGGTTTGCTATTTCGTTCTCCAGTGTGTCCTCCTTTTACAGGTGAGGAACTGAGGCAAATATGGGTTAAGTGACTTGTCCAGGTCACACAGCTAGTGAGTGTTTGAGGCTGGATTTGAACTCCCATCTTCTTGACTCCAGGCCTGGTGCTCTATCCATTATTAATTATTACTATATGTATTACTATAGTAACTATTACTATATGTAACTATTATAATCAATATTACAATAACCATTAGTAGTTATTGTAATAAATACTAAGAAACAATAACGCATTGTTAACGGTTATACTAATAATCGTAACAATAATGCATTATTGGTGGTTGTAGTGATAAGAAATAATAACGAAGCACCTACGCAGCACTTTGAGGTTTGCTAAGAGCTTGACATATATTATCACATTTGATCCTGCGTAGAAGCCTGACCGCGGCCAGTAAACATCAGTGGTAACATCTGAGATGTGGGGCCCCTGACTCTCGAACAAGTGCTGGTTCCCTAAGCTTCAGAAGACGGAAGTTTGGAGACGTGCTGGGCGCTCATCCAGTGCAACGGCCTCATTTCCTCCGGGAGGCCGGGGGTAGCCAAGAGACCGGACCAGAGTCGCCGGGAACGCCCCGCCCCCTGCCCATCACACAATTCCACGCGATGCTCTGGGTGGATTTCTTAATGTGGCCACTCGATTTATAAATCTTGGGGTAAGGGCGGGGGGAGGGCGTGAGGTTCGGCTTTTCTCTTCTCAGGACCCTGGTCAGGGAGCAGGGGGAAGCGGCCTTCACCGGTCCCGGGCTTCCTCTTCCTCGAGGCTGCTGAAGACTGCTCCTTCCTTCAGAAGCGAATAACGTCCGCGCGCTCTGGTTTGACCCACACGACGCTCCGTCCGGGTTACCGGAGGGAGCATGCGCACGGCGACTTCTGACCCTTCCTCTTTGCTCCTTTCCCCTCCCCCATCCCGGCAACAAGCGGCGATGGCGGCCCGCGTGGGCTTGGTGACCTGTCTACCTCTGTGCGCCCAGGTAAGGGGCCGATTCCTTGACTCTCTCCACCGGCACCTCAGTTCTCCCGGAACTGCCATCCTCAAAAGAGAAGAGCCGCCTGCGGGGAGCGCGGAGCCAGGTGAGTAGGGGCGGGCAGTTATCTCCGGTCATCCCTCCTCCGCGGGTTGGGGGTGGCGGGGCCTCTCTTAGCCCCGCCCCTCCGGGTCTGACCCCCCCCCGGGCCCCGGGGGGGGGGGTGAGTCTGGGCTCTGTGGCCCGTTGGGGTGGCGGGGACGGGGCCAGCCTGTGCCTTCTCGGTCCTGGGCCGAAGTTTCTCCCCCCAGGCTTGCTGACCTTGGAGCTGCCCCTTAACTTCTCTGGGCCCCTGTTCTCTCTAGGGCTGGAACCCCCCCCAAGCCGCCCGGAGACCCTCGTTCCTGGAGCCCGGCCTGGAGACTCTGCACACGTGGGTCCCAAACCCCGCCCCCCTAGCTTGCGGTCCGGGGACCGCCCCCCAGAGCCCCAGGGCTTCAGGTTGGGGCCGCATCCCCAGCCTTCAGCCTCCCACGAAAATTGGTCTATGAAGGCATCCAAGTGGCAGGAAGACCTGAGTTCAAATGTGACCCCAGACACTTACTAGCAGTGTGACCCAGGGAAAGTCACTGAACTGCCTGCCTCAGTTTCCACATCTGTAAAATGGGCATAGCAGTACCTGTCTGGAAAGGTTGTGAGGATGGCATAAGATCATATTTGCAAAGCGCCTGGCAAGTAGTAGGCGCTATGTAAGTACTGGCTGTTGTTAATACTGATGATATTATTGATCAGATCTGTTTCTATTGAGACCCATTTAATACCTTTCTAGGTATAATTTTAAGTGGTAATAGTAAAGGATACTTCCCTTGTCATCGTAGAGTTAAGTGAATTAGTATTTTCCCCTGAAGAAAATGGAGGCAGGCAGTGCCTTTACTGATACCACCAGGACCTCAATCAATAAATATTAATTAGCCATCTATCGTATTACAAACAAACAATCCTTATTGAGTGAGCTTAAGGAAAGGCTGAACTTGAAAGAATTGGTATCACTTTTCAATGGTGTTTCACTGAGGGCATTAATTTTGTATTGTGAGCTGGTAGCTGGTTCCTCTTGTTAAAAACTCCAAGGTCTAATCCAGAATAGAGTAACAAATGATTTTTGTAAGCTGACTAACTAATTTCCATCTTGAGGTTTTGTATCTTTTTTAAATTACATGGAAAGGAATATACTGGAATAATAAACAGGTGTCACATTAGAAAAGTCCAGTGGTTTAAAAGTCTTTACAAAATTATAGGAAAATTCCACCACCACCACCCCCAGGTTCTCTGAAAGGAACAAAACAGTCATTGGGATGCCATCTTACGGCAAATAAGTATTCTTCAGGAGTGCATAGTGTGGGAGGACACCCAGTTGGGTTCAGAGCCTAGATGGTAGCCTGGTGATTTTGAACATGTTGAATTGACTGATAGGGATAGTTCAAGTTTCCCTATTGGTATCATTAAGATAATTTTACTGACCAAAATTACTGGGTTGAGAAGCAGCTTGGGGTAATAAATAGAAGACTGGCTTAGGAGTCAGGGAGACCTGGTTTCAAGTCCTGCCTCTGACACACATGTGCTTTGTGGCAATGGTTTCATTCAGAGAGTGTTGAACTTGAGGAGCTGAATTTGGGGTCAGAGAACCCAGACCCAGATCCCAACTCTGCCACTTACTATCTATATATGGCCTTGGGCAGGACAAGTCATTTAACCCCTCTAGGCTTCTGTTCCCTTTTCTGTAAAATGAGATTAGAGTAGATGACAGTCAGGCTTTAAATGCCTGGTCCTAAAAGTCTGTGCCCCAGGTAACTCTAAGCAATAATAACAATAACAATAATAATTAGCATTTATGTTACACTTTAAGGTTTACAGAGGATGTTACAAATGCTGTCTTATTTTATCCTTACAACAACCCTGAGAGTCACTTCATTTTATGGATATGTTTATTTTATGGATGAGGAAATCGAGACAAAAAGAGGTTAGATGACTTGGCTCATGTAAATGTCTGAGGCTGGACTTGAACTCAGGTCTTCCTGATTCTGGATCTAGTAGTGCTCTACTCATTTTGCCACCTAACTACCTCTAAATTGTAGTTCCTGATCTGTATTAATGAAATCATACATTATTCCCCAAACCCGCCACCAAAACAAAAATAAAAACAAACATTACACAGTAACATTTATAGGCAATAATTAATAGAAAATTTCCTTGTCTGAATTACTCAAATTTTTTAAAAGAGGGTAATTTCATTTTGTTAACAGCTAGTCTTGGAATCTTAGCATTGAAAGAGATATTAGTTATTATTTAGTGCAACCTACTACCATGTGCAGCAGTCTCCTTTAAAATATCTCTGACACACGGAGCATCTGAACAGGTACACTGATGGAAGGCTTAGTGCTCATAAGCTAATAGTTCTATTTTGGGATTGCTCTAATTGGTAGAAAGTTCTTCCTCACTTTGGGCTTAATCCTATCTCCCTGATACTACTACTGTTTCATTCTAATTCTTCCCTTTGGAGTCCTACAGAAAGTAATCTCTTTTCTGTATTAGAGCTGTAGATCTGGATCTGGATCTCTCCCTCCTTCCCTTTTTCTTTCCCTCTTTTCTTTTCTCCATCTCCTTCCCTCCCTCCCTCTGTCTCCCTCCTTGTTCTCTTCTAGAAGGTGGCTGTGTCCCACTGTAAGCATCCTTTTCCAAAGTGAACATTCCTTTTTTCTTCAACTATTCCTTGAGTGACATGGCTTCCAGATATTAATTCAGGTACTGAGGATCTACAGTTAGGATCACATGTAGTTTAGCAGCTTCTACTTTAAAGGAATTGAGAGCTTGGAATACAGTATTCCGGAAGACTGAGGAGATATGAAGAATACCTTAGCCAGCAAAACAGTAGAATTCTACAGGGCAAAAAATGGAGCTTTAGTGAAATAGAGGACTTCCAAACCTTGCTGATATAAAGGCCAGAGCTATGCAGAAACTTTGAAGTTCGAGCACAGGAGTGAAGAGAGATATAAAATGGTAAACATGAAAGACTGAACAAAGATAAACTACTTATATTCTAATATGAGAAGATTATTGTCAACTGGCAATCACAACTTCACAAAACTTAACATGAAAACTAGGTTTATTACAAGAGAAATGGACCTGCATGTGAAACCCAAAGAGTTCACAATCCATAAAGAAGTTTGCATTTTTGTAACAGTAGGACAAAGGGAGGAAGAAAAACAAATCTCTACCTAAAGGGGTGTGGTACGGGAGGGGGAAAGGTGCAGTAAAGGTAGGAAAAGGACAAAACCCCTCTTGAAGGGAGGGGGAGCAAGGTGATGGCAAAAGCCAAATTCTTTTCCCTTGGGAACTGCTATGTCTATGTCTCTGTCTTGCTACTGCACCCAGATGGCTATGGCAGAGAGAGTGAGGCTGGTGACTTTGCACAACCCCGTCTCACTTAAATCCAATTCATTTGCAAATCAAAACATCACCTTCCTGATTGCAGATGTTATTGGTCCTTTTTTTTTTTTTGTTGGGCAGTGGGGTTAAGTGACTTGCCCAGGGTCACACAGCTAGTAAGTATTATGTGTCTGAGGTCGGATTTATACTCAGGTCCTCCTGAATCCAGGGCCAGTGCTGTATCCACTGCGCCACCTAGCTTTCCCCATTGATCCTTTTAAGAAAGCAGAATGAAGGGGCAGCTAGGTGGCGCAGTGGGTAGAGCATGGGCCCTGAAGTCCAGAAGACCTGAGTTCAAATCCGGCCTCAGACCAAACACTTGACACGTACTAGCTGTGTGACCTTGGGCAAGTCACTTAACCTCTATTGCCTCAAAAAAAAAAAAAAGGCAGAATGAACCACAAAATTAGACTAGAAAGATAGGTGGTCTCCTTATCTATATGGGTCCAAGCTTCACAAGCAGTTTCTCGGTCTAGTGCATACTACCTGGCACCTATCTTGACTCCCAAGGGCACACAGGGAGTCCAGCTTGGGATGCAAACAAACATTATGTCAACTCAGGGTGAGTTTCATCCTTGACACATTCAGGGCTTCCTCTATACTCTGGGTCCACTGTTTCTGGAAAATATGGCAACTCAAAAGGACGAGTTTAGGGGACCCCTTAACATTCCTTCACGTTATACATATGACCTCTCTGAACTCTATCATCATCAGGGGTCATAGAAAGAAGTCTAATTATACAGAAGGCCTGTGAGTGGTTCTGTTAAATCTTAAAACCTTTGAAAGAAGAATGGAAAGGGAAGGGTTGGGGGTGGAGCTGGGAAGGGAAAGGAATGTTAAAATTATTTCACCATCTGGGTGCCCAAGTAAAAGTCTCTACATACAAGAAGGGATAGTGGGAGTGTTCAGCACTTGAACGTCTGTCTTATATTTGAACTGGTCAAAGGAAAGAAGAGTACACATATCCAGAGAGAGAGAGAGAATTGGGTACAAATATACATTTCATTCAACAGGGTGGGAAAGGGGAGAAGGGAAAATTAAAGGAAAGGTAGATTAAGGGAGGGTGTAGTCCTAAGCAAAACAGACTCTAAGGGTGTACAAAGATATTTATACCACTTTTGGAGGTGGCAAAGAATTTGAATCTGAGAGTGTGCCCATTGTTTTGGGGAATGACTGAATGGGTTACAGTATATGAATGTGTGCTGTTGTGTGTAAGAAATGAAGATCATTTCAGAGAAACCTGGAGAGACTTGTGTGAACTAATGCAGAGTGAAGTGAACAGAACCAGAAGAATGATTTGTATGATGACAATAGTATTGTAGAGACTAACAGCTTTGAAAGATTTAGGAACTCTGATCATTGTTTGTGACGGGGGTTTTGTTTCTTTTTCATTTTCAGTTGAGGGGTTGAGGAATGGGAGAAAGGGCAGATTTTTGCTGTCTGAAAAAAAATGAAAATTAATTTAAAAAAGAAATTTAATGGGTTCAGTTTGGTACACTTTGAGTTTGCAGTGTCTATTGGACATCTGATTTGAAGTGTTCAATAAGCACTTAGTGATGCTCACCTAACATATTAGGTATCCTTCCCAGATTTTTGTCATTTGTTTCCATTTTGTGGCTACCACAAAAATTGCTCGAAATGATTTTATGTGTGCATAAATACTTTCCTTCTGTTGTTGATCCCTTTTTATCAAGGTAGTGGTATCACTGGATATAGTAGTTACTTTAAAGAAGAAAAACTAACTCGAGTACTCAGGTGTTTTTGTTCGTCTACAGAATGGGCATATTGACCCTGTCTACATTTTTCTTAAAGATTTCCCTTTTTCTTTGCTTCCTCTCGCTTAGATAAGCCTATAACTAAGTACTCAGATCTTTGGCCAAAAAAAAAAAAATTCTCATGAAAAACTTACAAATAGAAGAGAGGCAATTTATTACATTTTTCCTTTTACTTCGTTTACTCTTCCTTTAAATTCACACATATACATTTTTTGCTCTGGGCATATAATAAGTTGCATAGCATATTGGTTTCTGTGAGATACCCACACACACATGTATTTGTAATGAGAAATTATATTTTCTTCTTTTTGTTTACAGTTCATCAAATTTTGTAGAGTTCGCTCCATGGGCACTATAGATAACTATAATAGTTTACAACAGGGGCTATGGAGAATTCTAAGGATAGCTCCATGGGAAAGTTGACACAGTGTGGTAGGAGACAAAAATAGATCTGTTTAGTATTGTGATTGTAACTTTTAAGTTACACTCATTTTATAAGTTTTCCTCTTAAGCTGCCAGAATACTCCTTTTGTAGAGGGAAAGAGGATCCAGGTCTGTGATTTCATTGATAGAGGGAGCTTCCAGTTTGTAAATGCCCTTCACCAGCGACTGCCCTATAACTTACAGTTTTAGACATTTTTAGGGGGTGTTGTGAAGCTAAGGGACTTGGATTACAGTTACATAAGTAGTGTATGTCAGAAGCTGGACTAGTACAGAGTTTTTTGTGACTCCAGTGCTATCTATCCATTGTACTACACAGCCTCTTCAAAGTACAAATTAAGTATTAATTTTGTGAGGGAAAATGTTTTTGTCTTTTTCATAGGCCTGCAAGAAAAGTCCAACAACAAGACTTTTTCTGAGGTGCAAAAAGAAAGACGTGAGCAAGCGCAGAGGTCCATTTTAATAAGCTGCCCCAAGAAAGTTCCTGAGAAAAAGCTTCTTAAGCATTTATGTCAGCATGGAGAAATCACTAATCATTTCTTCTTTGAAAGCTTTGTAAGTTCTCAGAATGTTCAGAGTTTGAGAGAATACTTGACCTAGTGAGGAAACAAAATGAACTTCGTGAAGAAGCATGTAGTTTATACTCTTAGATTTCTTAAGCAGCTCAGTCACTTCTTTGGATTGTGTTCTGCAAAAGGAGTGCATTTCTTTTTTTTTAATGGTATTTTATTTCTTTCAGTTACATGTAAAGACAATTTTCAACATTAATTTTTCAAATAAGATTTTGAGTTCCAGATTTTTATTTCTCCCTCTTCCCTAAGAAAGTAAGCTATAGATTATACATGTGCAATCATGTAAAACATCTTTCAATGTTAGTTACGTTATGAAAGAAGAAACAGGACAAAAGGAAAAAAATTACAAAAAAAATAAAGTGAAAACAGCATGTGTCGATCAGCATTCAGACTCCATCAGTTCTTTCTCTGGAGGTGGACAGCATTTTCCATCATGAGTCTTTTGGAATTGTCTCAGATCCTTGTATTGCCGAGGAGAGCCAAGTCAAGCGTAGTTGATCATCACACTGTGTTGCTGTTACTGTGTAACAGTGTTCTAAAAGGAGTGTATTTCTGTCAAATGATAGTGATCTATAGGATTCTTTGTATTTGACTACTGAAATTTATTTGTATTATTTTTTACAGCAAATAGAAATTGTAACTGCAGGATTCATCATTTATAAGTAATAGTAACTATTTGATTCAGGGTCAGAGATGGACAAGATAGCTTTGTTTAGCCTTTCAGTTTGATGCTAAAATATCCAATTTTTTTTTGCAGTTTATTCAGAATGATATTTTCCTAACATGTTTGTCCTCTATCCCTGTCTTTATATGAAAGTGCAAAATACTAAGAGATTTGTGAAAAAAGAAAGATTTAGAGGGGGAAAATGTATAAAACTTAGTAATTACATTAAAATGCAAGTTGATAATGTGAATGATTAAAAACCGAAAAGAAAGTGACTTTAAATCTATTACCATATAATTCTTGTTCTTATATTTGTGGGGTTTTTTTTCTTTTTTAAATAGGGGATTCATGCTGTTATAGAGTTTTCCAAAAAGGAAAGTATAGCTTCACTACAGGATGCAACTTTTATCCCTCGTGGAGAAACAGAGTTTCCTATTCCTTTTAAATCTCGTTTCTTTCATTTGAACTTGAAGAATCCATCAAACCAAACTTCAGATGGGATGCTTGTGCAGTGTAGTAACCAGTCTAGCCCTTTAAATGCGGATCTTATCCAGACACTTTGTAATGCAGAAAGTGTAAGTTCTGTATTTTTACTTGTCTTTTTGCAGGTATGTAGGAGTAATAAGATGCACTGTTTTAAAGGTAACTAAATAATAGATGTCTTGGTAACTATACTGATGCTATATTTGGTAAATATACAGTTCAGGAAACTGGAAATTTTGCTTGTGTAATTTGAAACACCTTGCCCATTTCTGCTACCTTAACCTTTAAACCTGGCTTTTAATTTTCTTTTTAAAAATTATTATTATTAATCTCATTAAAATTTTGTAACCCCAAACATTTGTATTTATTTCTTTTTTTTAAAAAATAGCATTTTGTTGGCTTTTGATTTTCTTAAATTGTTATCTTCGTTGTTCTTTGCATCACTTCTTTATTTTAATTTTCCCAAAAATAGTTTAGTTCTTTGCCAGAGGATTTTTGTTTTTGTTTTGTTTTTGTTTTTGGGTTTTTTTTGGATGGTTGTTTCTTAGGAAAAGGTGTGATTATAATTCTGGTCTTCTTTTTCCCATTTTAATTATTGTTTCAGAAAATATTAAGGGAATTAAGGGATACTATTGTTTTGGTTCTTTTTTTAGCTTTAGAGATAAATAATTCAAGAATTTAAAGTTAATCCTTAGAAAACAACCAGATCACTAGCATTAACAAATTATAAATTAAAAAAAAATCATTTAATTGACTTGTTCCTTTTGTCATTTCTTGAATTTTGTGTGTCTGTTTTGGTCAGCTAGGTAGAAGGCCAAATTATCACACTCATGAGGACATTACAAATAACAGAGGAGAATATTAGGCTTCGATACCTTAGCTGCTCTCTCATTGAGGATATTGCAGCGGCATATTTTCCATCTTGTACTATCAAACCATTTGGCTCATCAGTAAACAGCTTTGGGAAACTAGGATGTGATTTGGACATGTTTTTGGACCTGGATGACATTGGGAAAAACAGTGCTACAAAGGTAAGTATGGATCTGTCTTTCTATGCTGTTAATAGTCATTTTTAAAATTAAGAAATTAATCAACAAAGGGAAATGATTGAATTTAAATTAACTAGCATTTTGAAAAGCCTTCTGTGTGTTTAAAGTTTTCAGTGAGTTTTTAAGAGGAGAGAAGTAGGGAGTTAGGAGCTGGTTATACAGTAGGAAGCATATCACAAGTAAATGGAGGGTTCGCAGTCATTGGGTGACCTCTCCATAGCTGTTTATTTTGATGGAATTGCCAGCATAGGCAATAGGAACTACTTTAGGGCTTTTTGAATAATTCAGTAGAAAAGGGAGAAAAGTACTGAAAGGAGGAACTTGGGAAATTTGGTGTTGGTTGAGGAGAAATTTGAACTTTGTTCTCATACTGAAAAATTAAAGGAAGATTTTAGAGAGAGTTTTTGTGGAATCTTTGTTAGCTAATTTAGTGCTACATTTTATATAGATTTAAGGTATGGGAAAACTGTCACTTTGTAAGCTTTCTAAATGGAATAGGATACTTTGAGATTTTAAGTTTTAAGAATAGGAAATGAAAGGATAGAATACTTGTTGGGTGTGTCCTACAGAGGATTATATTTTTCAGATACGTTTTTTGAGTAGTTGACTACTGAAGTCCCTTCCAAGTGCTGGAATTTTGTGATTCTGTGAAAACTGAAGCTCTTTTTTACTGTTTAAAATACAGCAAATGTTCATCTGATGTATTGAGTTTTGAAGTAGTTTAAATTTAATATCTATAAAGATTATAAATGAAATTTAAATGCTATTGATATGATTAGTTTAGAGTTTTTACTAGTGTTATATTCTTTATCTTTCTACCTACCTTCTTTCAGGGAGGGTATGTGAATTGGTGGATTTAAGGAGCAGCTTAGGAACTTAGTAGTTCTAATTACTCTTCTGTTTTTACTGCATTCTAGGGAGCAAACTACCTAATCTTCATGTTCCTTAGTTAAGTTCTCAAATTTTAAATGGGGTTGATAGTACTAGCTCCATGTAAGAATTGTTATGAGGAATGTTTAATAAATCTTAGTTTTTTAATTATGAGGAATAGTTAATAAATCTTAGTTTGGAAAAACTCTAACGTGAATTTGAAAACTGTAAAAAATCATATTTCTGCAGAGGAAAAACTATTGCCTGCTGCTTTTCTTACCTCTTGGAAGAATTGTTCTAACATATAAAATAGAACAAAATAATTTCAGAAATACCTTATCTTTGCTTATAATAGAGATGACTAATTTTTTTTGGAGGCAGTTGGGATTGAGTGACTTGTCCAGGGTCACATAGCTAGTAAGTGTCTGAGGTCTGATTGAATTCAGCTCTTCCTGACTCCAGGGTTGGTGCACTATTTACTGTACCACCTAGCTGCCCCAGTGAAGGTGACTTTAAAAAAAAAGCAAAAACTGAAATTTCAAAAGTTGGAGTGATTCTGTAAAAAGCCTATTAAGCCTACATAATCCAGGCTCACTCCCAACCAGAAATTGAGTTCATACTCTAATCCTGCCTTTGCTTCCATTCATCAGATCAATTTTACACACCCAGATGTCCCCCATCAGTAAAATATCCTCACTTGATTCTGCCTTCTTGTCCTTATATCTGTCTTCCCCTTTTTGCATCTAAATGCTTTTTAAAAATCTGTTTGTTCTAGGTTTTTTTTTTCCCTTTTGCCTACCCTTTTCAGTCTGGCTTCTGATCTTATCATTTAACTGAAATTGCTCATTCCAAATTTAGTGGTTTTTTCTCACCGCTCATGCTTCTTAACCTATCTGTAACATGTGACATGGTTGAAAACCCTCTGCTCCTAGATACTCTCTTCTCTACAGATTTTCATGACACTATTCTCTCCTGGTTCACCTTTACTTGTCTGACTGCTCTTTCTCAAACCCCTAGTTTGAATCTTCATTCAGGTCACGTCCACTGACTCTGGGTATCCCTTCAAGGTTCCATCCTGGGCCTTCTTCTCTTCCTCTTTGGTGTATAATATAATGTCTAAACTGTTGTAATTTCATCACCTCACATGGGTTCAGTTGTTGATGTACGAATCTCAAATTCAGCTTGTCCAAAGGAGAGCCCGTTGTCTTTCCTCCTCAAACCCTATCCTCTTCCTAACTTTTCCTCTTATTGTCAAGTGCGCCACCATCCTCCCAGTCACCAGGCTTGCCCACACTCACCCCATGTATCTGATCCCTTGTCGGATGTTGTCATTTCTGTATTCACATCTCTTGTGTAAATCTACTTCTTTCCACTTACAAAGCTACCACGCTGGTATAGACCATCATTATCTCTCGCCTACACTATTGCAGTATCTTTTTAATTGGTCTCCTTTCCTGGGCCCTCTCCCTCTTATTAGGAAAGTGATTTTCCTAGATCACATGTTTCTCTTCCCACTACCCCCTCACCAATTCAATAAACTCCAGTGCCTCCCTGTTACCTCCAGGATCAAATAGAAACACTTACATTGGGTATTTAAAGCCCTCCACACCTGGCCTCCTCCTGTCTTCCTAATCTTTACCTTCTTACCTACCTTCCCCTCCCCACATTTTGCCCTTCAGCCACGCTGGTTTGCTCTAGCTATCCTTGCCCAGGGTACTTCTGATTCTGTTCCTTGGGACCGGCAGTTCTTCATGTCTGGGATTCTCTCCTTCACCTCTGCCTCCTAGTTTTTCTGGCTTTTTTTAATCCTCAGTTCAAATACCACCTTCCATAAGAAGCCTTTCCAAGTTGTTCCCCCTTTTTTCCTCCTCCCCTTCCTTCTGAAGTTCCCTTCCATTTATGGTGTTTGTATCATATATCTATACAGTTAATTGCATATTGAGGTCAGGGAGCATATTTTTGTATCCCCTGTGCTAAATAGAAGCTTGTTGACTGAATGACTTTAGTAATATTAATTCATATAATCATGCAATCTTTAAGTTAGAACAGACCTCAAAAGTCCTACAGTTTAACCCCTATCTGAAGAATGAACTTTCTCAATCAATTAACAAACATTTGTTAAGCCCTTGCTGTGTACCAAGTCCCATTAGGTATTGTGAATGCCCCCACAAAAGCGAGACAGTACCAGTCCTCACAGAATTTTTATTTTATGGAAAGACAACATCCCCAACAAAATAGTCATTGAGCTGTTCATGCATTGAATAATATATCTCACTGTTGTTTCTGTAACTACAGAATTTGTCATCACTTTTCTACATTAATTGATTTGATTTCATCTTCTCTATATTTCATCATCTCTATATTTCTAAACCATTTAGTTTGTAACAGTGTTTGGAATTTCCATTGCCTGAAGATGACCCTGTTATTTTCAAAGTAGAAAACAGAGACAAGAGGTGAATTACAGTGGTTCTCTATTTATTATACTGGTATTAGGAGTTAGGAATAATCATATAGATATTGGGAAATAGCATAAAGTGTTAGAAAGAGCTACGTGCTAGAGCCTGGGCTTTTCAGTTCAGGTCTGACCCTAGTTAGGTCTGTGATATTTCGGAAATTGCTTAATTACTCTCAAGTGAGTTTTCTCTCTCAAATAGAGATAAACTTAAAGAGACCTTGTGTCTCTGATATGGTAGGTCAAAACCCAGCTTTTGCCAGTGCTGCATTTGATGTCCTTCCCACAAGTAGACTGGTGACAATGTATGAACGTGAGAGGCAGCATGGTGTATTGATACCAAGTTGACTTTAGAATAGGAAGTCCTGGATTCAAGTCCTGCCTCTGACTCAAGTCATTTAATATCTTAGCACCCTAGACAACCTTTAAAACTTGGGGCAGCTAGGTGGCGCGGTGGATAGAGCACCAGCCCTGGAGTCAGGAAGACCTGAGTTCTCATCTGGCCTCAGACACTTGTCACTAGCTGTGTGACGCTGGGGAAGTCACTTAACCCCATTGCCTAGCCAAAAAACAAAAAACTTAGAGTTTTGCAGAGCAGCTACCCTACTGTGTTGGTAGAATTTTCTTATCAGCTGTTTTTTAAGCCAATAAAATCCCATATCCTAACTTGAGATAATGTTCCTTTTTATCCATGGTAACTAAAATCCCACCTTCTGCCAGAAGCCTTCCCTAACCCCTTTTAATTCTAGCTCTTTCCCTTTATTAATTATTACCTAATTATCCTATATATATCTTACTTTGTGTATATTTGTTTGCATGTTGTCTCTTCCATTAGATTATAAGCTCTTTGGGGATGGTGACTGTTTTTTTCTGCTTTTTGTTTCCCCAACACTTAGCACAGTGTTTGGCACATACAGGGGCCTAATAAATGTTTGTTGATTTGATAATGATTGAATGCCCTCCCTTTGACAAACTTTCTACTTCCCTTGTTGTTGGTGAGTTGTTTCAATGGTATCTAACTCTTCTGGACTCTATTTGAGGTTTTCTTGGCAGAGATGCTTGGATTGCCATTTCCTTCTCAAGCTCTTTTTATAGATGAGAAAACTGAGACAAACAGGGTTAAATGACTTGCCCAGGGTCACACAGCTAGTAAGTGTGAGACTAGATTTGAATTCAGGAATATGAATCTTCCTCATTCCAGGCCTGGTTCTCTAACCACTGTGCCTCCTAGCTGCCCTCCTACTTCCCTTACTTCTACTTGAAGAGGCACCGTGGATGCAGTTCCTATCTCTGCTCCATACAGGCTTTGTGACTGCATAACACTTAGTGTCCCAGGCAGCTGTCTTAAGACTCGGGAAGTTGGGTTATCAAGTTGCCTCAGTGGAGGGAGGTTTCATGCCAGGAGATCCCTGCTGGGATGACATCACAGGTTCCTCTGAGATGGGTGCCATCTCCTCCCACTTGTTTTTCCTTCATTTGACAGGCACTAAATGTCAGTTGTATGCAGAAGATCATCTTTGACCTTGTTTGAGATAATTTTGTATTTTCCAGTTGTACATTTTCCTGCTTCTTAATTGCCATCCACTTTTATCATGGTCCCTATTTTCCTTATGCCCTTTCTCGGCTTTTTTTCTTTTTCTTTCCTTGTTTTTTGAGGAAGGGAGCTAGAAAAGCAATTGTCTCTTTTATGTGTCAAAATAAGAAAAACTTAGGGTAACTACAAAAATACTTTAAAGTAGGGCATAGCTGAATTACAGAGATTTTGTAAAAGTAATAGCAACTTTTTTTTCTCTCCTTCAATAAAGAACTATCAAACAAATGAAAAACTGCTGATAAAAGAAATCAGTAGAGGAAATAACATGTTATTGGTTTTGAGTAACATGTTGGGTGTGTTGAGGTGGGTTTGACTTTAAAAACCTTTGTTGTGGTATAATGGTAAGGCATGATACCTAAGTATATGATATTGTGTGGATAGTACATTAACTGAAAGGTAGATTTTTATTTACTAGTATTTTATAAATTTGGGGAAATGTGATTTTAAAAATTTTTAATTGCATTAAGAATGTTGATTTTTTTTTTCCAGAAGATGACTCAAAATACCTCTTCAAAAGAATTGTAAATGTCTTTTTAAGGAACTAATGTTTACATACATATTTTTGCTAGACAGCAGGACCATTTTTAATGGAATATCAAGTGAAAAGTGTACCTTCTGAAAGATGGGCTACTCAGAAGATTCTAGCCGTGATTGGAGAATGCCTAGACAACTTTGGCCCAGGCTGTGTCAGCGTGCAGAAGATACTACATGCTCGCTGTCCTCTGGTGAGGTTTTCTCATCAGGCGTCTGGTTTTCAGTGTGATTTGACTGCTAATAATAGGTATGATTTCCAGAATTTGTCATTTTATGTATCTCAGCATGATAATTTTAAAACTCTAACAGATATTTGGGGGTTTTGCAAAATGTATTAAATGTTTTTAATCTTGTACCAATCATTTGATGCTCCTGAAGCACATGTGTTATGATTTATGATCTAGCTCTTCTTTAGGCAGAATAGAACATTGAAAAAGCTAAGATTCATTATTGGGAGGAAACTTGTTGTTTTTACTAGTACAATTTGACAAAAGAGTGTATGTAGAAAGTGCCTATATATAGTCTTTACTATCACGCTGTCAAATGACAGCTAGTTTTCTCACTCCTCTATCACTTATAAGTCCAGTCATTTGTACTAAACAGATGTTGACTTTGTTTCTTTTTTATGGATTTATGTTATGTTATGTTATGTTATGTTATGTTATGTTATGTTATGTTATGTTAT